TGTCCTGGAAAACATATGCAATGCCATTACCGACCAGTTGCCAGGTGAGTCACGGAAGCACAGACAGGGGCTTCTGGGTAAAGGTTTCCAGGTTACGAATGGCGTACAATTAACTGGTTTTCTGGGTGGCGCCGGATTACATGAATAGAAATCTCGTTTGACAGGGGTATGACGAAAATTTATCTGAATCAGGCTGCCAGGGTTTCCTTGAACCCGCCAGGGTAAGCGGGATGCAAAGTCAGTTGGAACAGGGTCCAGTTGACCTGCAACCCTAATGATTATAAGCAGTCAAGATCATGTTTGGATGAAGATTAAAAGGTCATAACTTTGTTCTCTTCCCCCTCTCAGCATGTGTGGATGCCACAGTGGCTGATGTGGTCTTCTTGGTGGACAGTTCAGGCAGCATTGGCAGTACCGATTTCCAGGAGGTCCGACGGTTTCTCCGGACCGTGGTGTCCGAATTCGACATCGGTCCTGACAATGTCCGTGTGGGTTTGGCACAATGCAACCAAGACCCCTTTCTCGAGTTCTCGTTGCTAGAACACACGAATAAGGACTCTCTGCTGGCCGAACTGGATAACCTCCCCTTCAGGGGGGGATGTACGGAGACAGGCGAGGCCATCGACTTCATCCGGACGCAGCTGTTCAATGAAAACGCAGGAAGCCGAGCGAGCCAGGGGGTGGCTCAGATCGCCGTGGTCATCACAGACGGAGTCTCCGGCGACGACGTAGTTCAGCCTGCTCTGCGCCTCAGGCAACACGGGGTCACCGTCTTCGCGATCGGAGTGGGAGGAGCCAATGTGAACGAGCTGGATGCCATCGCGAACCAACCATCTGAGAACTTCCGATTCTTGATCGACAGCTTCCAATCTCTTCAGAGCGTGAGCGAGGTTGTCCTGGAAAACATATGCAATGCCATTACCGACCAGTTGCCAGGTGAGACACGGAAGCACAGACAGGGGCTTCTGGGTAAAGGTTTCCAGGTTACGAATGGCGTACAATTAACTGGTTTGCTGGGTGGCGTCGGATTACGTGAATAGAAAGCTCATTGACAGGGATATTACGAAAAGTTGTCTGAATCAGGCGGCCAGGGTTACCTTGAACCCGCCAGGCAAAGCGGGATGCACATTACCCGTTCGCGACCTCGCCAATGACGAAAATGTGATGTTGAATATCGCAATTGCAACGATATCGCGGTCATCAACACTCACATTACGTGGTTTTTTTTTCAATAACATACAGCCCTAGTGCCCACTCATTCTCCAACAGCCACAGTGATTGCGACTTTAGTTTGGTGAATTTTATTGTTTTATATATCATTGTAGAAAGGTAATACTGTACCTTTGAAAATTAAAATGCAATAAATAACATGTTTCCTCTTTTATTTGCTTTTCAATTCCCGGCCCACCAGGTAAGCCCACACACCCAATGTGTACTTTCCATATTGTACACCAGAAAAATGATCTCCAAGGAAAACTCAAACATGCAAGCCCCCAACTGCGTCTGCACATTATCCACCGCCACCGTCTTCTAACGATAATTGACGAAATGCCAAATGGAGAGATAAGGTGATCCTGTTCATTCAAAAATTTTAATGATGTAATAAATCACGCATTTTCTTGCGTTTAATCAATCTATCAGGCTCTCTGAGCCCCGTTGGAAACTTGCCATGAGGCAAAATAGTTTGATGGTTTACCGTGGTTGAAAAAGTCAAGGTTTCAATCACCGCTGAAACATTCCGTCACTGGAAATGAGCTTTTTTAATTTTAATTTTGTTTTTTGTTTTTTTTTTGAGGGGAATTACAAGCAGGGCCCATTGTGATGGTTGCTTACAGTTAGCGCAAAATCTAAAACTCATGATATGAATCTCGTGTCTTTTTTTTCCTTCTGCTCAGTTGAGCAGAGAGGGGAGGGGTGAGCAGTTACACACAGGAGGGTGGGAGGCGAGGAGCATACGAAAGGTGACTTTTTGCTATGTTAAAGGTAATCTCCCACACCTTCGGTAGACTCACCTTGGTCAACGGGCTGTCACTTGAAAAGCGCTTTTCTACATTTGAGACTCAAATCCCTTCACACTGTTGCCTCATTTACAAACTGACAAAGCAGCATCAGGAGCAACGGGGGCTTCAGTAACTGTCAGAGCTTTTACTCGGACAAAGTTAAACAATTGACTCTACACACAGGGAAGATTGTCTTTCTGATCGGCGGAAGATCTCTGAGGGCAAACGACGGACGTTGCCCCGTGGTCACTCTTAGAGTTCCTTGTCCTCCAGTCGGACTTTTATTGTTCACATATTAAGCAAAATACAAGAAAAGCACTGCCCCTGATATGTGCATACCACGCCCCCGGTCCGGCCCCTCAGGTGTGATCTGATTTCCTTGAAATAGAACATCAGGTCCATAAAAAGTTTTTCGGTTAACATATCAAAAACAGAACATTTTTCTGAGCAATACAAGTTCTCAACACTGATCTTGCTTCGGATAGCAAAAAATAAATAAGAGATCCTTAAATCACAGTGCTGGAAGGTAACACTTCAAAAATAACACTGTTCAACTTGAGAAAATAAAGTGCTGAAGTAAACATCAACCACTTCTGGTAGGCTACTGTGTCAAGATCATGTATGGATGAAGATTAAAAGGTAATGACTTTGTTCTCTCCCCTCTCTCAGCATGTGTGGATGCCAAAGTGGCTGATGTGGTCTTCTTGGTGGACAGTTCGGGCAGCATTGGCAGTACCAATTTCCAGGAGGTCCGAGAGTTTCTCCAGAACGTGGTGTCTGGTTTGAACATCGGTCCTGACAATGTCCGCGTGGGTTTGGCACAATACAACCAA